AAGCCATACATTACAGTACAGCTTCAATAAATCAAAAACAAAGACAAAATCTTCAACAAAGAGTGCACAATGAAGGTGTCCCTCATCCTTTATTTCTTCAAGGATTTTTATTTCTTCTCTTTCTGTGACCTCATTTATTTCTGTTCTAGATCTTCTTACTGTATAGTCTTAGCTATGCTTCTGTAGTGCTCTAAAGCAAGTGTTGGCAAGCCTTTTCTGTAAATGGCCAGATAGTAAATATTTTAAAGTTTGTGTGTCACTTGTGCTGCAGTTAAATAGCACACTTCTAAATAACCAACCCATGGTTCAAAGAAGAAATAACAAGAGAAAGAATTTAGAAAATATTTTGAAGTGCATTAAAAGCACAGTGTATCAGAATTTGTGGGATACAGCTAAAGCCATACCCAAGAGGAAATTTAAAGTTTTAAATGCTTATATTAGAAAAGAAGAAACAGGGGCGCCTGGGTGGCTCAGTCGTTAAGCGTCTGCCTTCGGCTCAGGTCATGATCCCAGGGTCCTGGGATCGAGCCCCGCATCGGGCTCCCTGCTCCACCGGGAAGCCTGCTTCTCCCTCTCCCACTCCCCCTGCTTGTGTTCCCTCTCTCACTGTGTCTCTCTCTGTCAAATAAATAAAATCTTTAAAAAAAAAAAAAAAAAGAAGAAACATTTAAAATCCATGATCTAAGCTTCCATCTTAAGATATGGTAGAGAAAGAAAAGTGAAATATACCCAAGAAAGCAAGTAAAGACAGAGATCAGTGCAATACAAAACAAAATAATAGAGAAAATTAATGAAAATGAAATTTATTTAAAGAAGATAACATTAATAAATCTCTAACCAGAACTATCGAGAAGAAAAGATACAAATTATCAATATTAGGATTGAAGATGGGAACATCACTACAGATCCTCTAGACAAAGGATAATGAAGGAATATTACAGACACTTTTACGTCAATAAATAATGACAATTTAGGTGAAATGGAAAAATACTCTGAAAAATGACAGTTACCAAAATTGATTCAAGAAGAACTAGAAAATCTGAATATACCTAGATCTAGTAAATAAAATGAGTTCGTGGTTGCCTGGGTGGCTCAGTGTGTTAAGCGTCTGCCTTTGGCTCATATCATGATCCCAGGGTCCTGGGATTGAGCCCTGCATCAGGCTCCCTGCTCAGTGGGAAGCCTGCTTCTCCCTTTCCCCCTACTTGGGCTCTCTCTCTCACTATCTCTCTCTCTCAGATAAATAAATAAAATCTTAAATAAATAAATAAATAAAATGAGTTGGTAATTACAGTCCTTCCCACAAATTAAACTGCAGGCTCAAATAGCAAATTTCTCATAACATTTAATGAAGAAGTAATACTAAACTCTTGGAGGTGGACAGAACCCTTCACAACATAATTTATAAGGCTGATATTACAGTGATACTAAAGTCAAACAGATATTCCAAGAAAATAAACTACATACCAGTATCCCTATGAACATAGATGAACATCCCTATGAACATAAAATTTAAGATTTTATTTATTTATTTGCTGGAGAGAGAGCGTGGGAGAGAGCACGAGAGTACAAGCAGGGGGAGTGGCAGGCAGAGGGAGAAGCAGGCTCTCTGCTGAGCAAGGAACCAGATGTGGGACTCGATTCCAGAACCCTGGGATCATGACCTGAGCGGAAGACAGAGGCTTAACCGACTGAGCCACCCAGGCGTCCTGTTTTCTTTTTTTTTAAAGGGAAACATACTTTTTTAATTGAAGTAGATTTGATATACAGTATTAGTTTCAGGTGTACAGCATAGTGATTAGACATTTATATACATTACAGAATAATCACCATGGTAAGTCTAGGAGATGGAAATGTTTTTAACAGAAAATTAGCAGATTGAATCCATCCAGGATAATAAGCTATGACCAAGTGGAGTTATCTTAGGAAGGCAAGGTAAGTTTAACATTTGAAAGTCAATATAATTTATCATATTAACAGAAAGGAAAGAAAAACTGTAGAATCATCTTAATAGGTGCAGAAAAATTATATGTCAAAATTTGTAACTCATAAGGAAAATTCAGCAAACTAGCAAAAAAAGGACCTTTGTTACCTGATAAAGATAGGTAGTGTCATTTTTGATAACAGTTAATGAATGCAGGGGATGTACACTCTCACCACTTCTATTCACTGTTGTCTTGGGGAATCTAACTTAAAGTGCAATAAACCAAGAAAAGGAAATAAAAGATTTGAAGGAAGTAAAACTTTCATGACACCCAAATGACATGATCATATACATGTAGAATCCTAAGAAATTTATAAAATAAATCACCATGTTGTACACCTGAAACTAATATAACTCTGTATGTTAACTATAAAGAAAATAAAGGAGTAAAATGTTAAAAAAAGAAATATATAAAATAACCACTAAAAATCCCATAGTTACGGGATTTGTGAAAATATGAAAATTAATTATACTTTTTATTAGTAGTCCCAAACAAGTAGACATTGAAACTTAAATAAATATATAGTATTTACAGTACAACCAAAATCATCAAACATTTAGGGGTAAATTTAACAAAGTATGTCTAAGATATTAACACTGAAAAGTGCATTACATTACCAAGAGCTGATGCTAAAATTCATTTGAAAACACAAATGACCTAGAATAGCTAAGAGAATTTTTTAAAAGAAGAATAAAGTTGAAGGATGTATACTGTCAGATTTTATGACTTAATTTAAAGTTGTAGTAATCAAGAAAGTGTTGTATTGGCATAAGGATGCATATTTAAATGTTGAGGCAGAATTGAAAGTCCAGAAATAAACTTACACATATATGATTAATTAATTTTTGACAAAGATACCAAAGTAATCCTTTGGGTTAGTGATTCTTTTTCTTCAGGGAAGTTGAAACTATCCCTTGTAATAGTTTTTCCACCATATCAGTCGGTATTATTATGGAAGAAAATGAACATGATACTATGTGGAAAAATTAATTCAAATGGAAACAAAAGTTTTAGAAGAATACAGGTGAAAAGACTTGATGTAGGCAAAAATGAACCACAAAAGAAAAAAAATATTAATTGGTCATTGTCAGAATTAAAAACTAGCTCTTCAAAATATACCATTAAAAAATTAAAAAGCCACAGAATGGTGGAAATCATTTACTACACATAAATCTCAGAAGGTTTTTATCTAGGATATGTTAAGAATCCTAAAATTCAATAAGAATACAGCTGATTTGATTTTTTAAATGGGCAAAAAATTGGAATAAAAGGCAATGTAGGGATATGGCCAAAAAGCACATGGGAAAAAATGCTTGATCATTAGAAAAATGCAGTTTATAACAATGATGAGATCTCATCACACAGTTAAAATCTAAAAGCTTAACAATACTAAGTGTTGACAAGGATGTGAAGCAACAAGAATGCACATATACATTGCTGGTGGAATATAAAATTGTATATGCACTTTGTAAAACAGATTGACAGGTTTTTTTTTTTTAAGATTTTATTTATTTATTTGAGAGAGAGAGAATGAGAGACAGAGAGCACGAGAGGGAAGAGGGCAGAGGGAGAAGCAGACCCCCTGCCGAGCAGGGAGCCTGATGCGGGACTCGATCCCGGGACTCCAGGATCATGACCTGAGCCGAAGGCAGTCGCTTAACCAACTGAGCCACCCAGGCGCCCCAGATTGACAGTTTCTTTAAAAGTTAGATACTTTCATTTGACAGAACAATTTTACTTGTACACAAATGTTTATGGTAGCATTTTTCATTATAACCGAAAGCTAGAAACAATCCAGAATTCCATTCACGGGTATGTGGATCAACAAAATTGTTTTATCCACACAGGAATACTAAGCAACAATAGGGAATGCACTAGTGATACACACAAAAGTATGCATGAATCTAAAAAGTATTGAAATGAAACCACACACAAAAAGGTACATTTGCTATGATTCCATTTATAAGAAACTCTACAAAATACAAATCTAATATGTAGTGAAAGAGAGAAAATCGATGTTTGCCTGTGAACAGGAGGATTTTCTGGGAAGGAGTGCTAATGAATATTTTCGAGGAGGTAGATATGTTCTATATATTGATGATGATAGCAATCACTCAAATGTCTCTTTTGTAAAAGTCAACAAAATTTACCCTTTAAATGAATGCATTTACTTTTATGTAAATAATACCTCAGTGAAGTTGGGGAAGGACATCCTCCTTTGTTAGCAGAAAAAATCCTTTGTAATTTAGATGTACATCCTCTGAGGATTGAGAGTTTAACTAGATATAAACTTAGCAGCTTGCTTTTAACTCTGAAATTATCTCCTTATCTAATTCATATTTTAAAAGGAAGGTGGAAAATATGCACTAGTCTTAGATTAAGCATATAAAAATACCTAATGAGTGTCAGTGGACAAGGTTAAATAATTTAAGATTGTAGTAGATAGGTCAGGTTCTATGCAGCATGTAATATTTTGAGGAAATATGTGCTGAGGATGTATGTGCTGCTTTCACAAATATTTGATTCTCATAATCGGCTGTCAAGTAGATAGGTCAGGCATCATCATTCTCTTTTACACATGGAGCACACCGGCTTAGAAGATTATGATATAATTTGATGAAGATCATTTAGCTGACAATTACGAGAGGATCTAGAGCTCAATTCTCTCTCCACTGTGAAACACTACTTGCCTTTAAAATGTACTCTTGTCTCTTTCCACCCCTCCCTTAAAAACAAAACAAAACAAAACATAACTTTATTGACATGTGTTCTTGATAAAATTCAAATTTTTTTCAGGCTGAAGTTTTCAGTATGGGTTCAGGGTATTGCCATATTAATCAGAAACATTCTTGGACATTTATGCAGTGATCAAAAAGTAATTCTAGTGTTCAGGGAATAATCAAACAAACTTTGAACATACAAAATAATACGGACAGTTACCAACAAATTATGTAATTTAACTAGTTTTCTGAGTCTGTTTACCATACTAATTTATTTCATTATGATAATTTTCAGACTAAATAAACTTGAAGATACTATTATACTAATTAAAGGAAAGATTGAAGAAGTTTGCCTTCCTGTAGAAAAAGTAGATGTTATTATATCTGAGTGGATGGTAAGTGTTTGCAAAAAAAACTACTTGTGTTGGTTTTAAAAAAAGAAAGCAGTGAATAAGGTAGTAGTTTTCTGCATTTAATTATGTTTGATAAATGGCAGAATAATGGTATTATTTTAAAAACAGCTACAATCTTTTTATGGTAGTTTATTCTGATATGGCACTTATTTACTGGCCATTTGTAATCTTTTTAAAAAGAGAATAAAGTACCTTTTTTACTTTTAAAATCATAATAAAGAATTACTGTTTTCCTATTTTCTAAATTTGTGGAGACCTAAATATGTTTGCTGAAAAGCCTGTGAGGACTAGTAAGGACTTACTAGGACTGTTTCATCAAAATTAACATGATGTTGCCACTATTGCTCTAATACTGAGTGTCCTATCTTTCTTACATCAGGCCATGTAGTCAGTGTTCTTTATCACATAAAAGAGAATTTATTAGCATGATTAAAATAATAAAATTAAGATACGTTTATAGCTTTAGAATTTGCTTTTGAAATCGTAAGTCAGGGCACAGAATGTTTATTTTTAAATGTATATGAAGTAAAACTAATGGTATTTGACAACTGATTTGACTTGTTGATATGCCAATTTGATGAAGACAAGTTAGTGTTTCCAGATAAAGATTTCTTAAGTATTTGGAGAGTTTTAAAGCCTTTTTTTAAAAACCTATATTTGATACATATATTTTCAGTAAATGAATTTATCAAAAAATTTTGGGAAAAATGCATTTTGCTTTATAATTATCTATAAATTTTGAATAATCATAGCAATAATTCTAGCAAAATAGCAGGGATTTTAGGGAGCTTTTGAAATGTTCAGATTTAATGTATAAGTAAATTTCAGTCTAGAGCCAGTGACAGTCACTGTTGTTAGCAGTTACTCTTTTGTACATGAAAGAATATGTTGATTTTTTTATGGTAGGGTTAGCTTCTAATAATTTTTAATCACAATGTCATTATTTTTCTTATACCAGAGAATTTGTATTAGCACTCTGATTTCTTTTATGAATTGGGTGAAAAGATACGGATTTAGTTACATATAATTAAAAATCCAGCATCTTTTTAAGGATGACAAAAAGGTGCTTTGAAGAAGTACATTTGAGGCATTTACTCATCAATAAGTTAAAATAGTGTATACTAAATGTTGGCTGACATGCTCATTTCTCCAGCACCATTTTACTTTTCTTGGAAAATGCATCTATTAAATTACTCCAAATTAGGATATAAGCAAACTGAGACAGACTTTACTAAACTTTCTGTCATTTCAGTTGAACATTTTTCCATATCTGGTTATAAATAGTTGGATAGTTCTTGACCTGCCTAGCAGAATTATATTTCTAGATAATGATATTCTAGGAATTTTCATTTCAAAATCTGAAAGATGATCTAGAAGTACTAATATTCAATTAAAATCTTAGAGCCAGTTGGTATAATAACAAAAAATTAGCTGGATTGAGTGAATTTATGAGATCATCACATTTACAATATGAACTTTATTGAAAAGCTGTGCTGTTCTTGGGCTTATTTGTCCTCAGGTGCATTTTATTTTACACTCTTCTCCTGCCTACTTCTGTACTGAAGGAGGGCTAACTCTGCAGGCTGCTTTTTCTAGGCTCCAAGGACAACCATCTTCCGTGGGGTTTGGGAAACCCAATGGGAAACACTAATAGGAGATTTAAAGAAAGGGAAGAGTCAGGGCATTTCTTTGCTTCTGTTTGCCTCTAGTTGTATTGCTGGCAGAAGCCATTTCTTTTGTGACTCCAGTTCCCACTGGACAAGTCTGTCATAATTCCAGTGTCCACTGTGTGACTCTGCCCTGGACTCTTGTAGCACTGCTTCTTCCTTTTGTCTCTCTAGCCTAGGAATGGTAGTTCCTTCCTGGTGTCTGCTGATGTCCAGTTGTCTCAGTCCCTTCTTGATCACTTACCATATCTTTTACCCTCTCTGTAACCAACTTCCTGTATTCATTTTTCTCTGTTTTCATGACCTATGGTTTCTGTTCTCCTAGACTGTAATTGATATAAAGGGTACCTTTCATTTTGGAGGACTGGTCAGGTGTGATCTCTGCCTTTATTAGGAAGGCATTATAATACAAATAATTCTGAGTCACCGGAACCTGGAATGAAAGCCAGTTGTTTGGAACCAAGGTGCTTTCAGAAGCCCTTCACTAAGAGAAGTAAATTAGTGTATTCAGGAAGTATTTCCTTATTCCTCTTCACAAGGGTGTAACTTAAGAGTTTGCATTATCTTACTGTCTTCCTTTCCTTATAGACATCAGTGGAATTGAAGTCTAGCAGATCATGTTAAATGTGTTAGGTGGAGCATTAGACACTATAATTTATGGCCATTATTCTAAGGCAGGCAACTTTGGATAGCCTTATTTCTCTAATAAAATTTGCATTAAGCTTTTTAAGTAGGCTTATGCTGGAATGTTTTGAGTCAACTTTGTGGATTGGCAATATTTATAGTACTTTCTAAATCCTGTAAATCCTCTTCTAAATTGGGTACTTCTAGGATTTCTGAGCTGAGTAGTTGGAAAATTCCAAATACCTAATTAACAGGAGGAACAGGTATGCTTTCTAAAATATATCCAACATTTTCCAGATATTCCTGCTTTGGCTGAAATGATGGGCCAGTGGTAGATGACTGAATATTTTAAATCTATTTTAAACCCACATTTTCATGAACCAGCATTTTAAAACTAAGATATATTGCACAGAATCCTCTCTTTGTCTTTTTTTTTTTAACATATGGTGGTAATGGTACAAAAATCTAGAAAAACACCATTTTAAGCCATAACATACATTTTTTTCTCTTTTTCTAAAAGTATTTTCAACAAGAAAGGTCAAAAAAAGAATATACTCGGCATAAAAATTGGACTCAGATGTTTAATGGACTTGTAATGCAGTGTAGCAATGTAGGTATTGTATGTTACAGAGATGTACATTTTGTTTTCTTCTCCTATAGTCCACTAACTATTCCATGTTAATCTAGATTTATTTTTTTGTCTACAACTATTCATGAACTTTGCTTTATTTTGGAAGATGTTCTTAGTTAAGCCTGCTTCTCCCTCTCCCACTGCCCCTGCTTGTGTTCCCTCTCGCTGTGTCTCTCTCTGTCAAATGAATAAATAAAATCTTAAAAAAAAAAAGAATGTAATTTTAAAAGCCAAATCATTGCTGTTAGCATATTATTTAATAAGCCATCACTTGCCTCTTAGAGTTATGAATTTTCAGACTTAGGCTTTCTTTTAATTTTATATTTTCATTTTTTATTGAATGGAATTTCCATTTGGTAAAATTATTATCAGTTATATAAATAACTGGTATTAAATAAATAACTGAAATTAGCCAATATTAAATAAATAACTGAATGAATAAATATGAGTTAAATCAGTTTAATCTCTATAAGATGTTAGTATTTATGCCTAAGAGTATCTCCTTTCATTTTCCATATTTTACTCTACCAATAGAGCCATTCTTTATGACATCTTATTTCTGATTGTCTAATAAAACTGTCCAAAGTAAGTGTCCCTAATTCTGTGCTACAAACCAGTTAAGCCAGATTAACTCATTTGGTGTTAGTGTTTTCCATCTATGTTTTCAGTGTGACCTCCTTATAAATACATAGATAAGATCCTGGCATCATATGATATGATTGCCAGTGATGATTCTTGTTTGCACCTTTGTTTTTTTCCATCATCAGGATTATCAGCAGAATTATACATTAGGTGAACTTTATATTTCATTGTCATGATCATTCCTGACCTACATTAAAATTGTCTGAAGTCCCTTTTAGCAATTTTTCTATCTTGGCTTGCTTCTCACAGAAGCTACCTAAAATTCCTCCTTAAAATATTCTTGGATGTGTCCTTGAAATTTAAGAATTAACTTTCCTACCTCATCTTCACCAGCACAAGTGTATCTGTGTAATACACATGAATGCACACACCCACACCCACAGTGGTATCTTTTGTTCATATTTAATACTCTTTATTAATGAGTAGCATTTCAAGATATCATTTAAAAAACAACATGGCTTGTGATTTGGCTCATCAACAGTCCACAAACTGACCATGAAGCCTGTCATAGGTCACATTTTTTTTTTTTTAAAGATTTATTTATTTGACAGAGAGAGACACAGAGAGAGGGGAACACAAGCAGGGGGAGTGGGAGAGGGAGAAGCAGGCTTCCCGCGGAGCGGAGAGCCCGATGCGGGGCTCCATCCCAGGACCCCTGGATCATGACCTGAGCCGAAGGCAGACGCTTAACGACTGAGCCACCCAGGCACCCCCATAGGTCACATTTTAAACTGGTGGACGTTGAAATGTTTTTGTCGTTTTTAGTCTGACAGTGAAGCCATGTCATTTCAGCCAACTGCCATGAGCATAGGTGACCTTTCCTGGTCTGTTTTTAACAACACAAATTAGAGTGTATTGTAATTAATTGTTCATGTACCTTTTTCCATTCTCCTGAGACTGGGAGCTAGGATTTACTTGGTATGACCAGATTCTATCACAGGGCTTAGCATGATGAGGGAATGTACACCATAAGAGAACTTTACAACTTAGAAATTCACTGGCCATAGATATAATCTTATTTATAATTTGCTATACAGCACATGAAGTCAGGAAGGTAACATGACAGGGTTGAGAATGGTGCTCTGGAGTCAGACTACCTTACCCTTCGCCCTGTTTTGCTGCTTAGGTTTGTTGCCTTGGGCATGTTACTGAACTTGTCTGTGCCTCAGTTTCTTTCTTTATAAAATGAAGATAATAGTAATACCTACTTCATAGGGTTTTTGTGAAGATTAAGTAAGTTAATAGATATAAATTTCTTGAAGCATTTTCTGCACATAATAAAATCTCAGTAGTTAGCTCTTTGGTTTTGAAAATTGTATAGTCTATTAAGCACTTGCTAACTAATGAATGAGCTGCCTGACTAGGTTATTCAGTAAGTAAAATTTGAAAATGGTAATATACATGAAGTAAAGACTATT